GGGGTGGGGGGGGGTGGGGCGGGGACGACACACTACAGGGAATGGACCTTGCTGTTCTTCACCAGTGGGCTGAGGCTTTTAAAGCTAAAGCTCACTCAGAGGGTTTAGCTGAACAGCCCAGCCCTCTGGTGGGTAATGGGATCATTGTGTCTGGCTCCCAGAGGTGACTTTGAAAATCTACTGGGCATCTTTCTGGCACTTTCATAGCATGCCTAAGGGTTCAGTAATTATAGACTAGATGTTGTCCATATTCAGATGATGCTTCCCCAGGGTAGGAGACTTACTCCGTTGTTTGTAAAAGATTGCTAGTTCTTTTAAGGGACGTTCATTGAAATCTTTGGCCATCGCTACTTCTCTCTGTGCATGGCTAGTGAGGTATGTTAGTAAGGAGGCAATGACCACTTTCTTTCTGCATTTGCATTTGTATTTTTTCTTTTTGCATTTTCTGAAGGTAGGAGCGAAGGAATTACTACTGCTTCTGTCCTCTTTAGCACTTGCTTCTGCCAAATATTTTGTGAGTGAAACAAATGTAGTAATTTTTCGACAGTTTCTTGGGTCAGTAGGGAAATAGTCTAGTGCCAGAATGTTTTTATTCCTCTAGTGAGTCCATCATCTCTTTTCATGGACCCATTTCTGTGATAAAGTATAAAAATCCTTGCTAGGCTGTGTGAGAGTGTCTTTCTACTCTTCCTGGGCCTTGAGGCCAGCTGGTATAGATTTTGGATTTCTGAATACTCTGCATCAATCCAGTGTCCTTTATTTTTCTCTTTTTTTCCCTCTGGCTGTTGTTTAATGCCTTAGTAAACATCCCTGTGATGGATTTGAGTGTCTGCTTTGAACCCCACGGTCTGGAATCCTTAAGTACATGTCAAACTTAACTTTGTAGTGATTGAAGTTCCATTGCACTAGATAGAGCTTGTTCTAAATGGTGATTTTCTTTCTTAATGAATCCTAGCAAGTGTTGAATGACTATCTAATAACGATTTGTCTGTTCATCTTAGGTTTGTAACCAAGTTACTGGAAGATCTCATTTTCTTTGTTGCTGATGTGCCTAATAATGGGCAGGAAGTTTTGGATGTTGTCATTACCAAGCCAAACCGGGAACGACAAAAATTAATGAGGGAGCAAAATATATTGGCTCAGGTTTGTCCTACTGTATTAATAACTTGTTGGTATTTACAAACAGACTGTAGGAAAGAGAGATTTGAGAAAATGTTATTTTTAGGTAACTTGGCTTATGCTGTGTTGAGTTTCTGTCTGGTTGACCGGCTGGATACGTCACTACTTAGTCAAGGCTCACCTCTTGGTCTGTGAGTCAGATAGAAGCACGAGGGACCATGTCTGATGGCTGTTAGTTTCATGTGATTCTGGTGACTTTTAAGACTACATTTGATAGCAAATTGTTGATGAAATTTGAAACAAGCTTGCAACATGGTCCCAATCCTGCAAGTGTTCCTCATATAGGAAAAATTCTGATGCCCTTATGGATCCCTGACTTGTTCGTATGAGGGCCAACTGTATGTAAATAAAAATTAATATTTTATTTAAGTAGCTTACTGAAATTTTAAAAAAAAGCTAAAAGGATGAAATTGGACAGCAGCCTGTATTGTCCTCCTTTTTCATCCTTAATTTATCCAAAGTTAAGGCACCTAACTAACAATGTTTAAAATTGGGGACAGCAGTAAAGAGAAAGCAATGTCAATCAAATTGGTGGGAAATGTAAAGCTAAATGCATAGAGTTGTAAAGTCTGAGATTGTGTCCCCACTTGTATTTAGTCGTATGTAGATAAGTGCAGTGATTCACTTCTGACTTGGGTTGATAAGAGTCTTGTGCTGATCCTTCAGAAGTCATTTCCATTGACTGCTGCTATGAGTTAAGCAAAAATCTAGGTTTGACTTTCATTCTCAGCAATTTTGATTTTGATCAGATATTTGGCATCCTCAAAGCTCCTTTTAAGGACAAAGGTGAAGGATCGATGCTGAGACTTGAAGACCTGGGTGACCAGAGATATGCCCCATACAAATACATGTTAAGGTTATGCTACAGAGTTCTCAGACATTCCCAACAGGACTATAGGAAGAACCAGGTCAGTGGTATTCTAGGTAATTTTCCTCCTGATTTCTGTAATTATATGTCACTCTCTGCACTTACAAGTGGGATTCTGTAATGGTGAAAGGACTGGGTTTTGTGTAGGTTAGTAGTAAGAAGTCACTGTCATATACTGCCTCATACTGAGGAACAGTGGTTTTGGTTTTTAGGCATTTGTATATGAATTGAATGATCAGCAATGAGTATCATAGGTTCACCTTGTACTTTCACAGGCTTAGACTAAGATTGGGGTCCACTGCCTCATTCATGAGCTTTCTGTTATTAAGATGAGTCTCTTGGACTCTGGATTATAAAGAGGGAAGTCTGCAAAACTGTCTTGCTTCTGTTGCGTAAATATTTGTAGGGGGATGGCAGCGAATCAGACCAGAGCTTAGTCTATCGGGTAGCCTGATTTCCCGCTGCTGGAGACTCCCCGTGGGCAAGAAGTATTTCAGAACATGGTGTTGAGTGCTTTGCACATTGCAGTGGGGAAAAACGGCTGTAACTTCATGGGGCTAAAGGGACTAGAGATAAAACATGGGACTGATATGTGTGGCTTCTTTGTTTCCTTTCTAATGCTTTACAGAAATATTTCTGTCTTGGAGGGAAGATAAAGGGAGGAGGGAAGACTCAGGAAAGAAAGCTTTTTAAATGTTATAAAAAACTTTTGGTTTTTCCTTGTAAAAAAAATTAGTTGTCATTTCTTGAATTTTTATATGTGCTTTCATGGATTCATTCCTTTGGTTTATGAAAAAATAAGAAGAGTTAGTCATCCCTAATATCTGTTTCTTGGGGTACATGTTTTAGGTGTTCAGATGTTCCTTTGTTCAGGCCAGTTCAGAAACGAAAGCTTGGAGGGTTATTTTGATTGGTAATTGAGCTGGATGCTTCTGGTTCTAAAAGAAAAACATTACTGCTTAACACGTCATCATGGGAATTTTCATTTTTTCAGGAATATATTGCTAAGAACTTCTGCGTCATGCAGTCCCAGATTGGTTATGATATTCTGGCAGAAGACACCATCACAGCTTTGTTGCACAACAACAGAAAACTGTTAGAGAAACACATCACAGCTAAAGAAATAGAGACGTTTGTTAATTTACTCAGGAGAAATCGAGAGCCAAGGTTTGAAGCGGTCCATGTAACATTCTTTTTCTGTACTGATAGGCTTTTATATTTGTAGTAGCTGTGAATCTGCCTCCTATTCATTGTTTTGTTATCTCTTTCTCCCAGCTTAATTTTTTTTTTTTGACCTGGCAGACAAAAACCCTACATGTACATTGTCATGCTAGAAAATATCAGAGCTACCTATAATTCTTGGGATTTGACCATATCTGCATTTTGGAACTAGAGCTTACTGAAAAGATGGTTTATACTTTACAGGGCAATTTTGAAAATTTGGTTTTGATTCAGACTGGGGCAAATAGAAACAAACAGAAATTTTAATTTCTCATAACTCTGCAGCTTCTCTGTGAAACTGCCACTTGTGTGGATTCCCGTGCTAATAATTGTGGTGCAAATTACACAGATTTCAATTTTTCTAAGCTTTTATTAATATCAGTTTTCCTGCAGGTTCTGACTCCAGGTCAGACCTGAAAGGGGCCTAGGGCAGTGAAGATCCCAGTAAAAACATGTGCCCTAGAACAGATCTTGTTCCAAATGAAGAATTCTGGCCTTGAACTGCACTCAGTTGGAAAATTTTTTTATTAGCTTTAGGTCAGAATATAAAGGAAATGGATTATTTTTTTTTTAATGGAAAATCTATCTATCTATCTTTTTCATTGGATTTTCAGTTGTAAAATTACCAGAGTGATAAAAATATGAGCAAGTAATGTACTGATAGCCAAATAATGTCCTCTGTGATAGTGAATACCATTTTTCTGTTAGCGATTAAGGATATTGTTCAACGCCCTGGTGCTTCACTGCTTCAATTGTTTTTTATATGTCTGCAACCGTTTTGCCTCAGTCTGTAATCTCATTGCCTCTCCAATGCTAAACTGTGTTGGGTTTGGTCAGTACTAAGAGGAAACCACGTGAGATCAGCTCCTTCTCAGTGCTGAAGTGTCCGAGTGGTTATTGACAATCCCATGTCACTTCTTTTTGTGGTGGAGTATGTCATAGTATTTGTTGCATAACTACATTGTGCAGCTGCTGTGTATTGACTTCTTCAAGGCTGAAGTCCAAGAGCAATAAATGTTTGAAAAATACACCTTGTCAAGATGGAGCAATTTGCACAGTAAAGGCCTGATCTTATGACACGTATTTTTATGGACAGTCTTGTAGACTTTTTCAGTACTGCTTGTGTAAGAATTGTGGCAGTATGCACTAAACCACATGAGCTACAAAATTTAAAATCTTCCTGAGTTTTAGCTCCAACTAACTAACTCCCCCAGAATTCTATGTAATTATATGCTGTTTACTTAATATTATCTTTGTGATGCAATATTGCTGTGCAGTGTTAATTACCTGTTGCCAAAAAGTTTCATTTCAGTGATGGGTAAAATTGTTCTTAAGTACCCTAAAAATGCTTTCTGTACTCATCCCTTGCAGTTCCCAGATTTCTGTGGGGAGTGTGGTCTATGCTAATGCAGAAATTGTTTTCTGATTCCCTCTTGAGCTCTTGCCCAGTTTTAGCTACATTTTCTAGAGGAGTGGTGGGCTCAGAGATACTCAGTTTTTACGAATATCATAAAAAGAAGCAGCTACATAGAGGGAAGAGGCCCTTTTTATGTTCCAGTGAGGCAAAGGCTGCAATATGGACTACTGTTAATACACACAGAGGAATCCAAGAAGCAAATACCTAACAAATGTCCCAACTGCAAGGAAAGCCTCAGCCTGAACCTTGTTAAACATCAGAAGACCTACATTTGAGAGATAAATTAGTAGGAAACACATTTCCATGCAAGCTTTATTATTTCTGCTTTATGTGGAATGACCTCTTTGAATACAGAGGTCCTGTCTTCAGGTCCTGCCAGATCTTCACTCTTCACAATTGTTGGCTGTGTCACTTCAGAGTTTTTAGAAGGCATCTTTAAAAGGTGGAGGTATGGACCCCTACAGTGCAATGGAGATTCTCAGAAGGCACATGACTATCTCCAGCACAAGTAACATCTCCTTGCTACTTGGCTTAGGGAGACACATGTTACCTGGTGGAGAAGATGAGTGAGAACGGGTACTTTTGCTTCTGGATCCTGACGAGGATGAGGGCCTTCAGTGGAGGTCCCCTTCCAGCCAAACTTAAGACAGCCTCAGGCTGTTCTTAAGTTCTGGCACAACTCCTTGGCCTTTGATTTGCTGAGAAGTGTCACACTTGGGATATCTTTCTTTTCTCTCCTTGACTGATTGTTCAGCACCATTCAGGGTGGCTGTCAAAGCTATTACTCATCTTGTGAGTTGTAAAAGTATGACCCAGCAAAGATCGTATGTTGATAATTCTCATGATATATGCTCCTTTGAGCATATTAGTGATGTATGCAATGTTTCTGGGTAGTATTTTAAGTCTCATGTTCTGTTATATGTATGTTTTTTTGATTGCAGATTCTTGGATTATCTATCGGACCTGTGTGTGTCTAACACCACAGCAATACCAGTAACTCAGGAACTCATCTGCAAGTTTATGCTGAGCCCAGGGAATGCTGACATTCTCATTCAGACCAAGTGAGCATCCATAATCAGAACATACATCTTTGTTATGTGCTCTGTTATTATATTTGTAGCAGTTTGCTAGTGGCTCCATTGTGAATGGTTTGTGTTTGCAGGCTGGTTTCGACACAAATGGACAATCCTTTGGAATGCCCTGTCATCTCGGATGACATTGATGAAGAGGAAGTGTGGCTTTACTGGATTGACAGTAACAAGGAGCCTCATGGCAAAGCTATCAGGCATCTGGCTCAGGAGGCAAAGGAGGGCACAAAAGCTGATTTAGAAGTTCTTACCTACTACAGGTAAGCCTGCTTATTCAAATGGAAGAAAATGTAAACTCTCTGAAGATCCTGGTGGCGTTCTTATCTAGTTCATTTGCCAATATCAAAAAAGGAAACCAGGTCTTGCCAGAAACCGGGATTAAAAGTTTGTTTCAAGTTTTTTCTGTAGGAAGCATCACAATCTCTGATGGCTATTCCAGACAAATCTTGAGGTTTTTTTGCTCATGACAGCTCTTTGTGTGTCTCTATCATTTTGCCTCTTACCTTTTATTTATTGGGCTTTTATTTTTAGGTTGTGCTGCCCTGGAAGCAAGGCGTGCTCTGAGGAAGGAGTGTCTTTAGGATTAGAGGGGAAATGGGATCATGGGACAGTGTCTTATGCTGGTTGAAAACAAATAGTCCAAATGCTTCAGCCTTCCATTGAACAATGCTTTCTTTGAGTTTCAACGGGAGCCCAGTCTTCATATGGGGCTGGCACCTGGTGTTAGCATTTTTAATGGCAAGTTGATCCCTTGCTTAGCAAAGTCACGGTTTTTAATTTTCAAATTGACATCAGAAAGGCTCACATCAGGTTTGTGGAGTGAGATTCTGAGATACATTGTTTCATTTGCAACTTATTTCTTTGAATATCATGTTTTATTACCTTTTTTTAAGGTACCAACTGAACCTCTTTGCAAGAATGTGTCTGGACCGCCAGTATCTTGCCATCAACCAGATTTCTGCACAGCTGTCGGTAGACTTGATCCTACGATGTATGTCTGATGAAAGCCTCCCTTATGACCTCCGGGCTTCTTTTTGTCGGCTGATGCTACACATGCATGTGGACAGAGATCCTCAGGAATCTGTAGTTCCTGTCAGATATGCCAGATTGTGGACTGAAATTCCTACGAAGATCACAATTCATGAGTGAGTTGAAAGTGTTTCAAACTAAAGTACAAAAGCATTTTGTAGGGGTTAGTCTCAGAACAAAATGGCTGTAGATGTCTAATGTTGACACAACAAGTGAAAAGGTATTTTGTTGCAGAGCACAGAGCTATTATTTGTTGTTGCTCTTGGAAACTTCCATGGGTAGCTTTACATCAAAATATTTCCATTTCATTTCTCACTTATAGGGAGCTAGCTGGGGAAAAATAGAATGGCCTTTCATCAGACTAACTGAACTTGAAGTAATCCAATTGTGTGTAACATTACAGGTTTGCTAGGCTGGAATTTGGTTTTATGCTTCAAGCTCAACTGAAAGCCACATTCGGAAAGCCAGAATTTACAGTTAGGTACAGCTTTTGCTCCAGAAACTGTTCACAGAGGATTTGACTTCCATCCAGCAGAGTACTTAAGCATGTGTTAAGTATGGGAGAAAGGCCCATTGACTTCAGTAGAAACCCTCTCTGGTTTAATTGGTTTGATGGAGCAGCACCACTGGGCTAGACCCAGACTGGGATTATCTGACTGAAGAGCTAAAGAAGTAGTATAGCACTGCAGCAGACAGTGAAGGACTGGTTTGACATATATGAAAAATCAGTCCTAGGTGGTGGTGCAAAGGAGGATGCTGACTGTCCCGAGCTGCTTGCCTGACCTTTTTTCTTCCTTGCAGAAATAGTAAACTCTGGCTGATGGGTAGAGAGGACAGATGAGACTTAGTGACTTACTGAACTGCCACAGCAAGGTTTAAGAGTGCTGTCTGCCAGAATCATAGTATTTTCCCATCTCTATTATTCCCATTCACTGCAACCCTTCCTGGTACTGTTGGAGGGGAGGTTTGTGCATCCTTTTTGCATATGTATGAAGAATCGGCTTACCTCTACCCCTTCTCCTTACAGAGAACCAACAGTAATTTCATAGTATTGCAATAGGTTTGTTTTTTCTTTAGTGACAGCTGATCCTGGTATTAGAGGTGTTTAATTTTCCTTCCTTCTGTGCCTTGTGTTGTAGGTATGATTCTTTCACAGACTCTTCAAGGAATGAAATGAAGAGAAAATTTGCGCTAACTATGGAATTTGTAGAAGAGTACTTGAAAGAAGTTGTAAATCAACCTTTTCCTTTTGGAGACAAAGAGAAAAATAAACTTACATTTGAGGTACTTCTCAGCTATCTGCATCCTACTTACAGTATTCCTCCTCACTTCAGATAAGTTGACATTGGTTCTTTCAAAATAAAGGTAGTTGCAGAATAAATGTTGCTGTAAAATGTCCTAAAGAAGCACCGTTTCCTAGTTCCAGTGTTCTTGGTGATGACTCTTACTGCACAAAATAATATTACTGTCTGCTGTCAAACAGCTGTATTTTTCCTTCCCTCTCCTGAGATGGTTGCATTTCGGTGGCAGGAGGAGAGATATGTGTGTGGGTGAATGGCCATATGCCCTTTCTGCCCACGTTAATGAGCTAGCATGCAGGGATTCTTCAATATAAGCAGGTACTATTCTCTGTGTAAAGGTATGACACTGAAGGAAATACTATGAACAACGTAATCCTGTGTTTTAAATATTGTTTGAAATTCCTGACAGAAACTTTAGATAGACTTAATCTTCTAGATTCAAGTAACACTGAACAAAGGGGAAACACTTACAGCTTTTATAGTTCTTCCTCCAACTTACTTCCCAAGTTTTGTCACTCTTACCTCTGGTCATCTGAAATCACCTCCTTTAAAACTTACCACAGTTGTTTTACTCTTCTTCTGACTTCCATCTTCCCCACAGCTGCTGCCTCTTTAAACAATTTCCTGGAGTCTTTCCTCTCAGTCTGATCTATTTTCCCAGATGCAATTTTATCCTTTCAAGCCTTCCTAAATCTCATGTTGGTTTTGCTGTCTGTTGTAATTTGACTGACCAATTGTTTTGTCTAACTCTGAAAAACATTTAATGACACGGGCCTTAGTGCAATGCCCATTTAAATCAGTGGAAAGACTTGTACTAGTTTGAATGCACCCTAGATCAGTGTGAAATGCAACTGTATTGCACAGCCAAATACCTCAAAGGTTGTTGAAACTTACTTAATTTTTAAATTCTTTTTCTCATAGGTGGTACACCTGGCTCGAAACCTCATATACTTTGGCTTTTACAGTTTTAGTGAGCTTCTCAGGCTGACCCGGACATTGCTGGCAATTCTAGATATTGTTCAAGTTCCTATATCATCATACTTCGAAAAGTTGAGCAAGTTTCAGGATGGAGGTGAGAGAAGCAGCAAAGACTGTTATTCCAGTGTATAATTCATTGTTTAGGTTGGAAATAATTTATGGAATGTCTCATTGATCTTTCAAGGTTTCTTTATTCACACATAATCCCACCTACAGGAATGTATTGCAGGATACATTAAGATAGTCAGCTAAAAAGGAACCTCTTTGAACAGAGCTGCAGCGTTGATGACTTGTCGTTACTGTGTTGGCACTGCTGCTCCTTTGCATGTTTGGAACTGAACTTTCAAATCTGGATCTAAGCCTCAGTGTCCCTTGCGCTGGACATCCCAAGCAAGTTCAGGTAGCATGTGCCTGGGCACAGTGATTATGATGGTTCATATGTGGCACAAGTGTTTATTAGTCGTCTTGGCACTTCACTTAAAGGGAGAATAAGATGTTACTGGTCCCACAACTGCAGGAGCACCAGATGAAAGTCCAGCTGAGGCCATATTCCGCATGTGTTTGTCAGTTTAGAATATTCTTCTTTTAATCCGGAACAGAGTGCCTGTTTGACAGCCCCAGGGCAATACTGTATGTCCCACTGTCTTTACTACCATGGCTTAAAACTGGGTTGAAGAATGAGCATTGCCAGGAAGGTGCTGAAACTCAGCAGTTTAGTTTTCCAATGTGTGTGGAAGGGAGGTGTGACAGTCATGTGAGCTGACAGCCCAGGTGACTGACTGATGGCAAATTCTGTTTTAATATGTGGCTGATGTAAGTGTCATTGCACTGCCAGCTGGCCCACAGCACCAAAAAGGATGAGCTGTCTTGTTTGAAACAACAATTATTTTCTATTTTCTCTGGGAGGCCTTTTCCCAGCCTTGAGTTTTCCTTGTCATCATTTTGCTAAGTCGCTCCTGTGGATGCCCTGCGTGAGCGTGCCATCCTTCATAACTTTTTTTCTTCTTTGACCTTCACACACGCTGGTGAAGTGTAGACTGTCATTGTCATTCCCGAGCCAAGAAGTCTTATGCCTGGTTCTCTTGATCTTTCCTCCATCACTGCCAGTACACTTTACTGAAAGCCCCTGAAAGTCTTCCGTGCAATACTGTGCACACTAAGACATGCTATAGCTGGCTGCAGTCCCTCTACAGCACTGGAGAAGGACTGTATGTTCAGACATTTGGAATTATGTTTTCCTTTTTTGTCCCTGAAATACTGCATTGCAGACTCTCTTCTTAAATGGCTCTGGACACAGTTTGACTCCAGATACAATCTTGGCATATTGGCAAGATTGAAATTGTCTCTCTGCTCAAGTCTTTGATTATACATCTCATTCAATGTTTTTACTCACCTTCATCACCCATAAAATTGTGTTTCATCTTTAATTCCCTTTTATTTCTGTTGAAGGGTTTCCTTTCAGGCTGTATAGGAAAGGAAAGAACCACCCATTGACTTCAAACAGACCTGCTCTCAGTTATACTAATTTCCAGAGCAATTCCATGCAAATCAATGAATTTACTCTGAAATAAGTGAATGTGAAGGAATGCAGAAAATGTCACAACCATGCAAATGGAAGCTCAGTAGCCTTGTTTGTAACACTCAACCATTGACTGGAGCCTTGTTGGGAACTTTTGTCACACATCTGTTTTTGTCTCACATTCTTTCAGCAACAAAGGTGCGGAAAAAAGGTGGGATTTTTTGACGTGTCTTTGGTTAGTTTCAGCCTTTATACAGATTCTTTTAAACTTCTTTCTTGGCTCTAGTTGTCTCTATGGATGTTTATCTTTTAAACCCATGGGCGGCACTAGGCTATGAAGATGCATATGTCACAACAATAATTTAGAGGCAATTTAAGCAGTTTCCTAACTCCTATTCACTATTTTTGAGCACCCAGCTCATGGAACTTCATGCCTGAAGAACATACTTCATATCTGTAAAACATATTAGTCAAGCAAAACAAGGGAGTACTTTTTATTAAGAAAAACCACACAAAAGCATTAACTTTAGTTGCAGATTAAGATCAGGGAGGAAGCTCAAGAAGAAAGCACCAGGTACTGTAGTTACCGATGTTCTGGAGACAACTGCTGTGGCTGAAACGTCAGCTGCTTGTAACTTCTGCCTATCTTTGTTTCATGTGGAAGCATGCTGGTGAGGAATGAACTAGACCATAGGGGCAGGAGTTTGGCTGGCATAAGTTGCTCTGGTTCCTGGGGCTGTGAGAGTTTGTGCCAGCTGAGTATTTGTTTCTACTCTTTTTTTTTTTTTTCCTTTCCCTCCCGTAATTTAAAAAAACCCTTTTGTCAGGTAGCAGTCCTTTAAAACTAGCCTTGTAATTGTCTTGCACCCAAATCCTGATTGTGTCTTTGCTACAAGTAATTAGAAGGTTTGAACGAGGCTCTAAACACGCAGAGCCCTAGATCTGCTTGTGTGTTCTCTGCCTTGCTAGGTATCACTTAGCCGTAGCTGAGGTGCGATGTGTCCACACTGAGCTAGAAAGAGCCAAGCTCAGGGTTTTGCTGGCTTATGCTGTAGTGTAGTTGACTGCTTCTGTGTCCAGCCTTTTCAGACTTCATGAGCTTGTGCTTGAGCCCATAGTAAGGTGCAGAAAGTGCTTATGTTTTCTGTCTGAGTGGTGGTGGTGGGCTGGAACTTCTGTGGCTCTGCATGTGTTGAGCTATAGATGATGCAAAGGATAAGTGAGTTCTGACTTGAGACTGGGCTTGAGTCTGTTTAATAGGGAGATCTTGCTGTATTAGCGTGTCTTAATGATGTTCTTGTACTTTTTTTTTTATCTTCTGGGGGAAGGGGAAAGACCAGGTATCTGATTCTACACTGCTTTGCGTCTTGTGCAGTCACTTCTATCCAAACAAGCTTGACCACAAAAATACTGATGTTACCCAAGTCCTGTGGAGTCTGGATCCACCTTGTCCAGGATCCACTAGGTATCTTGAGGAATGAACAGGCCAACAGAGAAATTGGTCTTAGGAATTTCATCTAGATCCCCCCTCACTCTGACAGTAAGGATTGTTCACCAGGAAGACTGTAGGTATACATTGTTTTTCAATTTTATGGTATTTATAAGATTGTACATCAAAGGTTCCCTTTCCCCTTTTACACAGACATCCTCTCTCTCTGTTATAAAACTGAGTTGTTGAGAACATGTTAGTTGTTTTATCAGTCAGCTGTCTTGGTTTTTATTGTCCCTTTTGACTTACAATACTGGTCTCTCAGGCTATTAAGTAAAAAGGATTAGAATAGAATAGAATTAGAATTAGATAGAATAGAATTAAAATTAGAATAGAAAGTAACTCAGCCTGATTTTTGTGTTTTTTTGAAAATGTGTTGGCATTTTCTAAAATCAGGACGGTCTGTTGATTTTTTTCGGAAAGTGTTCTCTTATTCATAACTTCCGCAAAATACAGATAGATGGATTATTCCCTGCCCTCATTCCGGATGATGGGAGCCCTGCCTCCAGTCAGTTAGGGGTGAGGGTGACTTGTTCCTGTCTTTAAAGGAGGTCAGATTCTGTTCTCCCATACCTCTCCAGATTGCAGCAAGGGCCTTGGTACACAGTATCCTCTCTGGCAGGTCCAATACTTGCAACATTCATGTCATACCTTTGAAGGCAGAGTATTGCAGGTAGATTACCCTCTAACACATTATTGCTGCAGGGATGTGCAGGTTTACACAGCTTCTTTCTTAAGCAAAGTTAGCATCCCTGAGTTGCAAAACTCATTACATTTTTGTTCTTTGTATCTGCTGTGACTCTGTGTATATACTGTGAATGTGTGGAAGGAAATTATTAGTTTTGGAGATTATAGAAGTTGTGAGTTTGTTTGTTTGTTTGTTTGTTTTTTAATGCATCCAGTCAGCGACCACAAATGTCTAGGCATTAGTTTTAATTTAGTAAGAACATGTATTTCATACTTTGGGCTTGGAGCTTTGGAGTGTAGCTCTAAAACCCAGTTTTGACAAACACTGAAAGCCAGCCATGGTGCCTGGGACTGATGGTTTAATGGTATAAACAAATGTGTTTAAATTTCGTCAAGCATCACAGGCCTGCCTGATCCTGTAACTGTAATGTAGGAAAGTGCTACTGAATACCAGCTTGGCATCTGTATGTTTTAATTCTCATCACTATCTTACTGTAAATTTACATAGATTAATATTAAACGGGTATTTAACAGCAATATTTTGTCAATAATTTTGCCTATTCAGAAATGTAGTTGATTTTCAGGTTCTAGGATGAGTGATTTGAGAAGAGGTTTGACCAAATGGAAGAGTAATTTAATTCCTATTCTGCAGCTTTAGTAAATCCAAGGTGGCAGCTCTATAAAAGTTAAAAATTGTGGATAGGATCTATTTATTTTACATGATAGGTCTTGCATTTTAGTTTTGTTAAAAAGTATTGATTTCTGTGGGAAACAGTACAGAATAAATTTGGGGAAAGATAGGGTATACTGCCTTTCCATTATTGACATTGATTTGTTCCAGCTCAGTAGCAACAAAAGCTTCCAGCATCTGATTCCTGTAATGTGAAGTTGTAAGGAACTGGTGAGCTTGGCTTTTTACTAGTTTGGCCACTGCTCTACATTATGCAAACGGTAGTCAGGATTTTGGGAATGGGTAGATATCTATTAATGATGGGTGGAAGAGTGAGATGGGTCTTGGCTGCGGGAAGCCTGGCTGGAGTTGTGCACCTCAAAATTGAAAGAACCAAATTGACAACCAGTAATTGGGAGTCTTCTTAGAACCACAGAATCATTTTGGTTGGAAAAGATCTTTAAGATCATCAGGTCCAACCGTTACCCTAACACTACCCAGCCCACCACTAAACCATGTCCCTAAGCACCACATCTATATGTCTTTTGAACACCTCCAGGGATGGTGACTCCACCACTTCCCTGG